AGCTACCAACATGAATTTGACCCAACTCCGGAAGGCAGTGGAAGGCAGGAGGGCCTGGCTTGCTCTGGTCCATGGGGTCACGAAGAGTCGGACACCACTTAACGACTAAACAACAACAAGCTGGTTTCAACTTGATGGTATACAATACACAAAAACAGCAATGGTACTGTTGGTTGAAGGTTAATGCCCCCTGCAAACCACAGTGCTAATCAGCTCTGCATGCAACATAGATCTATGGCACCTGTATTATCACGTCTTATTTTTCATGGTTACCAAACACACCTGGAATGAAACACAAGCATTTGCTATTAGTCCGATCTGCAGTCATGTGAAAGTATCTGTTGACTCCCAAATGCCTTGATAAGCATTCATGATAGGCCTCTTACTCATGTCATTTCATGGCTCAGCTGAGACTGAAGGATTTCATTTCCTGTAAGAACTCATCTTCAGCTTACATTTGTGCTACCTTTGATCAATGAGCAGACTATAACAAATTAGGGGGTATGGGAGGGGAAAATATGTCTCAGCTTCAGGTCATATAGAAGTGCAAGAAGAAATGGGATAAGAACCAATTAAAGCTTGTTAAGCATGTAACAGCTAATTACTTTGATTTTAGTCATGATCTGGCAGCCAAAAAGAAAAGTGTGGCCTCTCCATTTGTATGTCTGGACACAAATATCGGTCTCTGTATGAAAGGCCTAAGAATTCAAGGTGCTACTATTGGACAAGTTGCCGTATTCTGTATCTCTGCACTAGTACTTAGAAGATAGAAATGAGATGGTGGATGTCCAGTGCTAAACAGGCTGAGACAGATTCAAATACTTAAACCATCATCATGTTATTTGTAGAAATCCTTTTCAAAGGGGAAGCTGGATCGTCTGTAGAAAGGATGATTATGTAGAACAAACTCATCATCAGCTCATTCACTTAATCAGTGTTTGCCACAAAATCAACCACACCGTTAAGTTAGATCAAACAGAGGCCAAATGTGAATTGTAAGAATACCTGAACTGGGGAAAAATGGCTTTCGTTTTGAACGAATATATCAACACAGATTTATTTTAGATGATTACCATATTTTTCCGTGTATACGACTCCCAATGTATAAAATGATCCTCTAGTTTTGACCCTTGATGGAGGTGGAGGAGCAGTTAATGGGCAACTGCTCCTCCACCTCTGTCTCCTGCTGCTGTTGCTGCCTCTCCCGCCCAATCACCTCCTCCACTGCGACTGCTGGGGCTCACTTCCAGCTCACGTCGCCGCCACCTTGTCCCCTTCCCGAAGGGAGTGCTGGAAGAGGCAATGCGGGAGGAGCAGTGGGGGGTCATACACTTGACCTGGTTTTTAGAGGCAATACGGGAGGAGCAGTGTCATGAGTTCAGCTAAAGAAGATCTGGAATTTGAGGGGTTAATTACAGCTGAGGAAAATGCTGGTCAATTAGAAGCATAGACAGCTGAATCACCACCAGATTCTCCTCCCCCAGTAGCCAGGGTGAGGGCTAAACTTCAGCAAAGACTCATGACACGAAGGTCAGAGGATTGCATGAATGCTTCCCATAGGAACATCATGTCGGCCAGCCCTGAGTTTTAGCAGGATGAAGTGTTTAGATGACTGCTGCTGCTATAAAATCTGGACGCCGGAGGCTTGGAAGTTTGTGGAAGCAACAACACTCTGGCTCACATCCACGCTCCTGCTCACCTTGGACCTTGTTCTCAGGACCTTTGGCTTTGGACTCTGACTTCTGACTACAGTTTGTGTTTTGGCTTTAGCATTTTGGTATCTGCTTTGAGTCTCTTGGTCTTCTGTTGGATTAGTTTATTGGACTTTTGCCTGTTGAAACCCCCTGGGAATGTGACAAGCAGCAAGAGGTGCCAAAGCCCATGCAAGTGCTTCTTTGCCTCTGCCTCTTGCTGCTGCTGCCGGAGAGGGAACAAGGTGAGGATGATGTGAACTGGGTGGCGGCAGCAACAGCAGCAAG